ATCTTTGTAAGATTATGAATTTTCATAGAAGAGAAAATCCAAATTTACTTTGTCAAATCTTGTCTTTGTGTTTTGGTGATAAGACTATATGAAATACACTAGAATTCCTTGGGACCGCCTATTGACTAAGAACCTGACTTTCTTTAAGGACGTGCACTTACCACATCATAAATGGAAACTTTTCTAACATCTGTCTTTTCATTTTTTCACATAAGTAGTCTTGCAGGGACCAGGTACCTTGCAAACTTCTTTATGAATTCTTGAAAAGCTTGCTAGCTGACTTTCCTTTGAATGAATGAATTTAATATGATATTTGTCATGCTTAAAATATCATATATAAATAGTTATTATCCGTTAGACAAACACCTTCGTCCATTCTGATTGATGAAATACGCTGACGCCTCACCAACCTCTAACACGACAACATCATAGTTGTACCCCATTATAGATCTGGACGAGCGCACTAAGACAGGGACCAGATCTTTTCATTTGTGAGGATCATCAAAAAAACAAAAAATATAACATCTAGTACTTTCTTTAGTTCTGCAAATGGTTACTTTTATATTTATAAATGATGTTTCTCTTTGTTACACGTCTATATTTATCGCTACTGCCGCAAGATGTCATCGCTCAGCCTGATTTTAGGGAGATTTGGATTTGTTATTATAAGGAGTTAGTTGAGGATCTTTTTTGCAACATCGTGACTCCCTTTAAGATGAGACCATGCAATGTTGATATACAGATTTTACAGAATTAACATAATTGGGTATGTGCAATAAAAGTTCGTCAAGATGATAGCTTTTGGAGATCTTTCCTTTTTCATAACATGCCTTATTTACCTGTAAATGAGGCTCATTTTTCATAATGTGGTTGGGAGTTACTCTTTTCTTTTTATTTTTATTGAAAATACAGTAGGCATGAATATTTAATACTTCATTTTCAAGTTATTTACAATTCCTTTCTAGAATTTTTTTTGATAAGATAATTTTCAAGTTATTTACAATTCCTTTCTAGAATTTCTATTGATAAGATATTATGTCACATTTTAAATTTCATAAATTATTGATGTGAAACGATATTAGTTAATAAGTATTTTACATAAATTATGAATGTGCATGGTCTTTCATTGCATGATTGATTCATCTCGTCATATTAGGAAAAAGAAGAAGGTGAGAGTGCTTGTTCTAATATAAGTTCTTTCCTTACAAAGTCATATCTATGAAGTGTTTAGTTAAATGTTTTTTAATGTTAATGTGAGTTTAATTGGAACGAGACCAAACCATCATGTCCCAGTTCTATAGGGTAATGTGATTCTTGATTTTGGATATGACAAAGCTCATTAGTAGTGTTCCTTGAAAACCCCATATATCAGCTACAACCATTGGAGTTCTAAACAATCGTGAAAACTTTTTACAAGAAAGGAAACTTATGTGTACATGCATGTGAGTAATATATTTTCTATCGTAAGTCTATTATATATGCATATCCATGTAAAAGATATTTTTGTAGATTTATACATGCTTCAAATTTGAAGTAATGGTTTTGGCTAAACCCACCTAAATAAATTTGTCTATGAATAGGAGTTGAGGCTCTCTTCCTTGACCTTTTTATACCTTTTAATACGAGGGACCCTCTCAGTTCTAGGTCGCGAAAAATTTTTTTTACTTGGTTTCTCTTTTCATATTTTTTTTTGAGAATAAAATCTTTTATTCCCATACACAGATGTCAATTCAATGGGCTATAACAGTTTGGATGGCATTCCACTACTTTATTTCAAAAGACCCGATGCAAATACATTTGGGTATTCAAATGCTGAATGATAGATTACAGTAGAAAATCTAGTTTTCTTCTTCGATAACATTTCCTACTAGAAGTCCTGAAGTTTAGGGAGAATTAGTATCGTAAGTCACTTATAAATTATTTTAATTTTGCCGTTGTTCTATAGAAATCTTCATTTTTACACTTGAAGAAAAATTAAGAAGTCATTTTCTTCTATTCAATTTCTATCCAAGAGATCTCATTTTTTTGATTAAAAAAAGGTTGATATAGTTACTCCGATAAACATTACTCTTTCCAGTTCAAAATAAAAATAAATGGTCTAAAACTGATCGCTTCATATTTTTTTAATCTTCTTTATATTTTGTTTGACCTTTGGGTGTGAATAGAAGACGTGTCCAACAAAAATAGGGAGGAAAATTTAATGAAACAACAAAAACGTCAAAGACGAAGTTAATTTGTAATATTTTATGTTTTTGTTTTAAAAAACGTTACTGTAATCAAAGAATAACATTCATAAGTATACCGTTGGAAGCGAATCCCCTTTATTGAAAACAGTTTTAAGAGGGAAACCTCAAAATTACGCAGTTAAGACGGCGTAAATTATACTCACACTCTTTGAAAAAAATTCCTTTCTACCTAAAGAGTTAATTCGTAATGCCTTAAATTTTCAAATAATACCTCTTTTCTCTCTGGTCCTTTTGCACAAGTACTGGTGATTACTTTTGGACTTTTGAAACTTAAATCCTTCTTCCATAGTTGCTGTAAGAGAAGGGAATGGTTTCCCCATCTCGCATATCAGTTTCTGAGGAGGAACACAAGAAAAGACTTCTTAAAGTTGGGAATGAGCTGCTTCAGCAGCACCCATCTTCTAAAGAGGATGTTTTGGAGAAACTTGACTTGAGAATGTTCTCTTTTCTCTTTCCAATCTCATAAAGCTACGGAGTGAAAAGTATGTAGTAGCCAAGGGGGCTCCATTTTATCTATGAGACTTTGAAAAATTATAACTGACTTCCTAAAATGGTTGAAATTTATATCTGGTTCTGGTCAACACTTGTTAGTTAATCCTAGCATAAAATAATCACGTTATTTGAACAAAATTAGTAGTTTAGTTGGTTTATTACCTAATTTGTCACCTTAGAAGTGAGGTTTCGATCCCCATCTTGTAAAAAATGATCCTTTGTTTTGTATATAATGTAGAATGATCTTCGTTTGCATCTGGTGAAATTCCTATAAGCAACTCTAGCGAAAAATCATGTCCTCTAAGAGGTATATTTCTCTATAAGGACATTCTTGTAACTAAAAATCTATCTATGATTGCATTACTTGTGGTATCTAAAATCATCACTTCTATATGTTCCCTGCATATAACTTAGGATTTCCTTGTGTTGTTGGTTTTTTACTGGTCTTGGTAGTCAATTATCCATGTCTCTGTTTACATTATGTTGTATAAAGGACATAATCAGGCTTGTGATTAATAAAAGGAAATAAAAGTGTGGAGAGAAAGTGAGAGATGTTTTTCCTTGTGATGTAGTTTCAAACTTTATTTTTTACAAGATATCCTGATCTAGACTTCATTAGTTATCTATAGAAGTATTTCCAATGTATTTGACATGGTTCAATCACTTCTTTTTGAATTTTGTTATATGAAATTTTTAAAAGTTAGAGCATCCTTTTTCACTTGTGAAGCTAATCCCCTCCGTATCAAAGCAAGATGCTTTTCAGCCAGCATTGGAAATATTAGTTGCAGATGAACTTCTACGATATTTTGACATGGATGTGAAGATGTCAGTTCCATCTTGCATCAGTGAGATCATAAGAGTTAAAACTATTGATCAACCATATAATGATAGTATATTTGAGGACAGTACAACTCCTACAGTTTTCTTTGCCCAAAACTGGAAATCTGACTGGTTGCCAGTCTTTCTTCTAACGAAGTTGTTTTACTATGTTACTGGTAGTTTAGATTTTGTAGTATTTATGAACATATAATTTTCTCGAATACATGAATAGATTTTATACATACTCATAGTTTGGTTTCTTGCTTAATTGGCTGACAGGACTTATTTGAGCTTTCAGTGATGGCGTTTGGGAAATTGTGATGCTTGGATGGTCGTTGTTATTTAAAGGTTGTGTCAATTATTGAAGTTCTGGCGAAGTACCGAACATGCATGGTCATGTTGGATTTCATGTTACATGGATTTATTGTTCAGTTGTTTCAACATTTTCTGAATGGTATAAGGTATATTTCCAATTATGTTATACATATTGATAAATTTCCAAAAGATAAGAGGAATGGAACCCGACCACATGTGTGTAACTTTGCTGGTATTTTATCTTTTATTGTTCATTTGTTTATGGTAATATAATGTATCCTCTACACTTGCCACAAGTTAATATATTACATTTAGTCGATATCGCCTTATCCATGAAGCCTTCACATTTTTGTCTGTAGAGTATCTCCACAACTTACTCTAAAAGCATTGAATATAGGTGGATATTGTCTCTACTGGGTGAAGCTCGTATTTCCCTTGTTTTCCCTTACAATAAAAACTCTCCAAATTGTTGAACTAGTTCCAAGCATGCAAAGACAATAAATTTAAAACATGTGGATATAATAAAGAGAGTTTATATAAATACTGTTATCTTCCCTCCCTTGGCATATAGTCATCTTTTCCGCTATTTTTTTCTGAATTTTCTCAACAACCGGCTGCTATTTCAGATTAAATATTCTATGCGAAATTTCGTAAATTGAATATGTTTATGACTATTCAGATTTGAAATATGATAAGTATGATATTTTATTTATCAAACTATCACTCTTTGACTCTTAATTAGATATTATTCGACTATCACTAATTAATCACAAATCAATTGTACATCCTTAACTTTCATAGAAAATGGAATGGAAGGAGTATATGACAGTTTTAGCAGTTTATTCACCATTTTACCTGCATATGTTGAATTCAGCATAAATGAACTTATATGGTAAGGTACATGTATAGCATGCCAAAATCTACTGGATTCTTTTTTTCCTTCATAAAGTTTAAAACACTAATAGTTTCTTTGTAAGCCAATTTTTTTGTCTGGAGAATGGATGACAACTGTTTTGTCTCTTCCCCTATTTTAAGGCCTCAACACCCTGATAACGCATTCATAGACATCAAGAAAATAATGACCATGATAATAAAAGAGAGTGGAGAGATTCGAATGCAATTTTTGAGCATCCTCATAAATAGTGTTAAGAAGGAAAATCAGGTATTTCTTTTCCTCTTCAACTTTATTCATCTATCTTTTGAATTGTTTTTAATTACATCTTATATTGATTTAGAATGTTTCGCCTCGTTCTTATGTGCTGGGAGAGGAAGTTCTTCAAGAAAGTGCTGTCAAAATTCATCCATATCTTCCTAAAGCAGTGGCGGACCTCAACATTTCCTTTAAAAACTATTCTAAAGTTGTTGAATATATATGGAGAAAGGCAATGAAATATAAAGCTAAGGTGGGTTTATATGATAATTCAAATTGATTTCTGCATTTATTTGTAAAATGAATGATTGTTTATATGATAATTCAAAAATTTCCTGTGTAATTTACAATGAAATGGAAACTGATAAACATGCAATGTTTATTTTATGATAGACTATCTTTAATATGACTTTCAAGTTCTGTATTCTGTCAATTTATCCTTATTTCTTGTTAATATTCGAATACATCACAGGTGGAAAATGCTCCCCAAGATCTTGCACCACATGCTTCACCGAAGAGAGTTGTTTCGTTCTTAGATCACACATAACTTGCTGGGAAAAGATAATCACAAGCATAAGGACTGTGATGTCATTGTAGAGATGGATACATCTTTAAAGGAATCAGAATGTGAAAATGCAATGAAGTAGCAGAAAAATACAAGTTCAAGGACCACGTCGCAACCTGAAAACTTGGGTTTCACGAATACAGTCGAAAAGTTTCTATATCCAGAAGCTACTCAAAATTCAAAGAAAAGAGGTTGGAAACCTATTTTTTTAATAAACTAGACAACGGATATAATTATGCTTTGATAAGTGGAGAAAGGACATCAAAAGTCCATATTCTTTCTAAGTTCGTGGGAAAGATGCTAACAAGAGGGGAAGCAGTTCACCTAAATATGCAATCTCCATTGATGAATCAGGAGCTGAAGATCGTGATAATGATGGCAGCCTTCAGTTGGTGAATCAGGAGCTGAGGTAAATCAAAAAGTTATCTATAATTGACTCAACTCTTTCAAGAAGTTGTGTATTTAAGTATAGCATTTATTTCTGAAACTTGGTTCTGGACTTATTATATGCATAATTAAATTGTGTGGGCACTAGGCTCTGCCTTTACAATAACCAAAGTAAGCAATTTTAACAAAGCCTCTAAAGAACAATATTTGCCATCATAAGAAATGGTCAACATTTATTGAATTATTCATCTATTAGAGCCTTACCATAAAATATCTCCCCCTTAGACATTTTACCTTATAGGGATGCTCATGCAGATACATGCATCAACCTTGATTTTAATGTAGATTGAAATGGTATATTAACCAATCTATAACTTCTGTAAATATATTGAATGATACATGATCATAGTCCATACAAGTTGGGCAAATATCATTTATGTAAAGGTTACTTACTCATGCTTTTTCTATGCCCAACTTCATGAAAGCAATTTCTACTTTTTTGTGCTGCATTTAAAGAAGAAGTGATCTGGAGTGTGGACTTCTATATGATTTCTACAGTTGGGCTTCTCCAAGCATTTTGAGTAATCTTATACATACAAGTTTGTATTTGTACATAACTAATGTGTTATTTGTAGTTTTGATTATTTGACAAACCCAGGGACCTTATGAAGGGACCGAGTTCATTGTGTTATAAACTCTCCACTGCCAAGATGGAAAAAGTACAATTGGTTGGTGCACAATCTCCATCTAATGACAAGATGAACGTAGGGAACTTTTAAAAGGACCTGGTCGCCTGATTGACACACTTCTCACTGCCAGGCTGAAGAAAGTACAAAAAGTTGGTGCACTGTCCCCAACAATGGCAGAAGTGGCAGACGCGGCAGAAGCCTTTGTTAATGGTATGGCTTTGAAGGTTATGATTATTCTACAGAAATTTCATGTTTAAAAGTAATAACATTAGTTTTTGCAAATTTAAAAAATCCCGAGAGCTCTTTCAAAGGCTCAAAAAAGTGAAGATTTATCCTCAAGATCAACTTAAATCGGAAAGAGCTGGAAGCTTATTTGTCTTAGTATTAATTCTTCTATACACACATTATAAATCTATTCTTACATATATAAAGGAATCAGATAGTTGTTTGGCGAGAAAATCCTAAATTAGTTGAGGCTAACTGATTTAGTGGGAAGCCTTGTCTGCTGTTTAGTAAAAGTCTATGTCATCCCGAGCGTGGTGATTTAGTTGAAAACCTGTGTGTTGCTTAGTCGAATTCTAAGTTGACAAGTGGTGATAGCTTAGTGGGCGGTGTTGTATCCGCTTAGGCTTTTCAAGTAATAGGTAGATTACTTGATCATGATATTAATAACTTTTTCTCACATAGGTTGTAACGGGGTTTCTATTTTGCTTGAGAAGATTAGTGAAAACGGTGTAAAATCTTCTGCGACAGGTCTTGGTTTTATTCCCTTGAGCAAAGAGGTTTCCATGTTAACTTCTTGTGCTTGTAACGACCAGCATGTACACCGTAGAAGTTAGAGCATTCTTGTGCCACCACACGGCAAATGAGACTTCAAGAAGTCTCATCTAAGCCAGTCGTATCATTCATTTCATAATAAACGTTCTAAAAAGAGTAAGAATTTAAAACGTTATTCACACATGAAGAGCTCTTTCCATAATCATTACACAAGCGGAAGAATTTCATTCAAAACATTAAATCTTTACAACATCTCCTTGAAGCATCTAAACTTTGGAGTATACAAAACTTTGTACTAGGACCATACAAGAGATATAGTAATAACTAAGACATAAAGGAACATGTGGACATTGTCCTCGAATCGATGAGGACTCACCAATGCTTCATCTTCAACTCTTAGAAACATATCCATCCTCCATGACATATTAATACTTCCAATTCCATACACTTTAGTCAAAAAGGGAAATGAAGGGGTTGTCACATTAGATGCACCAAGTATTGAAGTGATGCAAAATCCATGAAAAAGCGACATTTAGTAAATAACATGATTTTCATGAATTTTGATAAAAAAATCATACTATAAGCATAATAACAACATTTAACATCTTAGGAACACATAATAAATCATTTAAGCAATTACTTACATTTTTAGAAAAACATTACATTGAGCTAGTTCATTTCACTGTACAGTGAAGTCCTTTAACTTCATATTAGACACTTTCTAAAATGTAATCCCCTCACTAAAAGCTATCCTAAGACTCACATAAGTAAGACAAAGAGAGACTACCCATACAATCTCTCTAGGAACACCTAAATGATCCTTACGACCACCTTTAATGAGATACATACCAAGCACATAAAAACGTCAAGCATATGGGCATGAGATTGTTCTACCAAAGGTGATTCTAGGTCTCACTTGAGTGACTTGTGAAGAGACTGTCCATACAGTCACTTATACACACTTAAAAGATCCTATAGACTACCTAAGATAGAATCGTTCTCACTTCATACATCAACACATGGATAATATGACATTTTCCTTCCAAAGGCTATAAAAAGACTTACATAAGTAAATCAATAAGATAACGTCCATGATTGACCTCTTCAAGATTACTTAAATAATCCTTAAGATTACCTAAGGCTTAGATAATTCCTACATAATCAACCATCTTCCCTAACTAGAGTCATCCTTGAGACTTAACTAGGTATGATACGAAGTCACCATTCCTATGCCCCCTTCACACCTTAACTAGACAACCCTTAACTACTACAGGTAAGTACTTATTCATTTGACATACCTTTTTAACTTAAGTCATTACCTTCATTAGTTTATTTAAGACTAATTCATCAAATAAAGACATTCAAGTAATGGTCTTGGACAAGACCTATGGACTCTAACTAACACCTTCAAAGCCTATTATACAATGTCTAGATAGCGTCCCAGACTACCATTGAAACTTTATAGAAAATCTCTAATTGTAGTATGTATCCCATATGATATAGGCAATAACCGACATAGACCATGGTGGAAAATCATGGAATCCATGGTTCTAACCTACTCCGATGAGGGTGTTCTACTTGCAAATGATAGAATTTGGACTGATCCCATGTTGGCATATGATTAAGGAATATGAAGGGTGTGCTTTATAACCTAGGCTCATCCTTTAACTAGAGCTACTTCCTTTACCATATTCACTCGGTGCTAGCCTTTGTTCTCATAGAGTAATTTACATTGAAAGTTCATATAAAGGGGTTCCATATCATGTTCATAACCCAATCACATTTACCCTACCAAATAGGTCCACTAGGGCTACCTTACAATGGAAACAAGAAGCTCACAATGACTTCCCTGAGGATTATGTGATGTCTTTCCAGCCAATCACCCCTAAGTCCACCATTCCTTACATGAATGATACCATTACGACTTTCTAATTCAACATTCATAACCTTACCACTAGGCTTAAGGTTTCACATAAAGGACTTCTTAACATCATTCAAGGACTCATGTCATTCATACATACAAGACTAAGAGTATTTAGCATCCTAAGTCAAGACATATCATATTCACATTCATACATGCATCGAGTAAAGGACAGAAGTCAACCAAGACAAGATACAACATACTTCACATTAACACACATTGCATGTCATTCTAAAAGCACATAGAAATAAGTGTTATCATCTTCATGTCAAGTAGGAATAACCATGCATAAACTCTAAGACTACACATATAAGCACATAAGTCTACATGATCACCTAACATCAATAGAACACATACTTTAACTTAATCACATGTAGATAGATATTCTCATACTTCATAACTCAACTACACAAATCATCATAATACTTCAAGTAGTTGCTGACAAGGCCATGATCATCTTATACATAAAGTAACGCCTAGAAGGACACATCAATTCACATAAAACCACCACCATAGGTGGACCATACCAATAATCATTTTAATACAAAAGCTACACAAAATATTAACAGAGTTAGGGCAGCATACCACCCATTCCATCTCACCACTTCAATCCAAAGCTAAATCATCCAATTCAGCACCATAAGGCCCTTACTCATGGACATGAACGTAAATTCAATACATAAACTATGATACTCAATGAATATAAGTCAATTAATTATAGATTTATCAATCTAAGACCAATTAAACATCAACTGAATACAATTCTCACATAATTCAATAGCCCATAGAAAACCACACAAGAATTCATAAGCATTAAGTCAAT